GCACCTTCAGCTCCCTGGGACACACACTGCCGCTGGGGAGGAAGGATGACACCTTTGGCTCCCTGGGACACACACTGCCGCTGGGGAGGAAGGACAACACCTTCTGCTACCTGGGGTACACACTGCCGCTGGGGAGGAAGGACGACACCTTTGGCTCCCTGGGACTCACACTGCCGCTGGGGAGGAAGGACAACACCTTCTGCTCTCTGGGGTACACACTGCTGCTGGGGAGGAAGGACGACACCTTTGGCTCCCTGGGACTCCTTTTTGGCCAAATCTACTAGAGATTGCAGGTATTCTCCTACTAGTTTCCTGGCGAGCTGCACGGCTCTCTCTGGGGGGCTGGGTCCAAAGGTAGACAGCACCTCATTAACCTCTCTGTCAAACTCCTCCTGAGTGTAGTCATACGCCATGCTTGCTCTGCTGAAGTTAGTTCTTTTGTAGATAGGGTCACTGTACGGGTACTAGCGTTGCCCTCAATTTGTAAATCCACGAACTGTGTCTCCGAGTTGCTTTACCTCGCACTAGGACGCCATCCCACCGCTGCCACCAATGTAACGGATCGCCTGGCACCCCGACTGGGTACCTCCGTTGAAGGATGCTCCTAGCGCTTCCTGAGGACTCCAAGCACTGCAGCAGACACCAAACCACCGAACCATGGGAGCATATGAATGCTCTCAAGCATGTGAATGCTGTAGACAGTTGAATAGGAACCATACGAATAGGTTTACTCTCCTAGCAGTCAAACTGGAACAGCATACAATAAATCCTTCCCCAATAATGAGACGACACTTCACTTTGAGGGTTAAGCAGGAACTCTCTGTACTGTCACATACAGTCTCTTTTATTCCCAATCCACAAACATAGTACAGCCCACAGGGCGTTACAAAACAACCAATCACATCACAGTTACATCCCACATATTCCCTCCCCTTATCCTGAGAGGAAACTCAATTACACATACAGTTAAAACATACTTTCTACCCAACTTTCATAACTCTAAAACCATACATCACATTCACATAAAATTACATATTCACAATCAATCCATTCAGGGGAACAACATATTCAAAATGGCACAAATCAGACAAGGGGTTCAAAAGTTAGTAAAAAGTCCTTTGTGACTAAATGAAGCATGGCTTTCTGGCCCAAACCAGTTTCAGAGTCTTCTATCCTGGAGAGTAATTCAATTATCTCCCAGGATAGACACAAGACTCCATTAAGCACATGGTTGCAAAAAGACACAAAACACTTTAAAATACATAAAGTCACATTTACACATAACACACAGACATTTCACATATCCCCAGATAGCTGGGATCTGAGTGCACATTATTAGATGAATGGCACTCAGATCACACAAATAAGCCTTTCTGCAGGGGAAATAAACGGTTTAACCTGCAGGGCCATAGTCCAAAGGGAGCAGGCGAGCAACCAGGCTTCTCCAGTTCACAGTGGCGAGGTTGGTTTCGCCACACGAGCCATTATTTTCAATGGATTTTCATTTGTAAACCGCAAATTATGTTAACCGAGGCGTTTGTAAACCGAGGTCCCACTGTACATCATGGCCACTTGCTATCCACTCACGATGTATAGTGAAATCACACATTACAACTAAAACAGTGTTGCAAATGTGACACAAAACTGCATACATCTCTTGCATAATACAGACATTTACACTTTAAATTGCGTACAGATAATTGATATCCCCACTACATGTTAATATTGTGTAAAATTCCTTCCTTCAAGGTGTATAGCTTTTAAAATTACAATCATACGTTTGCCAGACTAAAATAGCAGTTCTTCTAATCCATGGATTATCTCAGTATTTTAGCCCATTCATTATGGGCGCCATATCCTTTGTCACCGTCACTAATGCACTTAATAAGGGTCAACATACTGACTATAGTGGCCATTTAAATATTTCAGAACAGCTTGACGTCTTACTTGGAGTCCTTCTAAGGGGCTTCTGATAGCTCTCCTGAGCCAAGTGCAGGGCCAGCTTATTTGGTAAAAGCATCATCGAATTGTTCTCAGCCAATGAGCTAAGCCCTGATTACCAGGGATTTCCTGGCAACATAACTACAACAGCACTTATGTAATGGTTATGGTGCTTGAAGTGTTTATTAAAAGAGAGACCATTAGATTATAGTGGAACACACAGCAAAAGTTTCAAATAGGTACATACTTTGCTTTTTGATGATGCTACCACTTTAGGTATAACTATACATTAACATCTACAACAGGTTTATATGTACATGGGAAACATTTTAAATTTTTTAAATTTATTTTGTAAAGGAGTTATATCACAATTTAGGAATATGTTATAATTCCACTTTTATGATGTGATTAAAAAATTTTTTTTTATTATTAATAAAAGCGGGTTTTTTTCTTCTTTTGTGGTTAAAATAGTGGTGATCACAATTTAGTAGATGAGTTTGGATCGCAATGGTGTAAGAAAGGCACCTGGAAATTAAGGGATTCTCTATACTTAACATATTTAAGGAACACTATAATCACCCAGACAACTTCATTGTTATTATTATTATTTATAAAGCGCCAACAAATTCCGCAGTGCTATACATCTTAACATGTATTCCTAACGCTATAAGGTTCCTTTAAACTAAAGTGGCACAAGTTAATATTTGATATTTAAGAAAGACAATATAATAAAAAAAAAACTTTTGAAAACAATTTATATATAATCAAATTAATTTCTCAGCTTAGCTTTTAATACTAAGGTTTTTAAAGATAAAGTGCTAATTCCCATGAGAAATATGTCATTATATATGTAGCTAATTAGACAGAGTAGATTAAATACTACTAGAATGATCTATTGGTTGCAAGGGCTGCTGTTATATTTTGTATAAAGGGTGTTTTTGGAAAGGTATCTTGCAATATATTCTGTATTGGAACTGAACGCGTTGGTGATATCAACCATTATTTGTATGCAAACTAGGTAGTAAATTTGTAGCAAATCCATGCAGTGTTCTTATCATTTTGTTAACACTGTTTCAGTTGGATCAGGTGTGATTTCATTATATGTTGTAGGTGTATAGCATCGCAGGATGTCAAAGCCTCACTTTACAGTCAATGCCAGTTCATTCATTGGCGGCTGTAATAAATGCACATTGCAACTTATAACACAGGAAAACACCAAACTAACCTGACCGTTTTGATTTGGTTTTGTCACACCTACTGTATAGGAGACAAATTTGCTTTTATATAACATTTCAAACACTGTGTGAAAAATTGCAAGATAAAGGACACTGTATACTGTCTGAAATTTTCCATTTCACAAATATTTTTATAAAGCATGATTTAATAAATGGAAAATAAAAATTGGGAACATTTACAGATTTTTAAGTTTGTCTGCAAATGAATCTATACTCAAATTTGCAATTATGATATGTTTATAATTATCCCTTGCTTCAAATATATGTGATGCTAATATTTCTTCAGTCAAAAAGTGCTCGGTAGTCAAGTTGTTAAATGAAGAACAACAAAAAATACTGTTTGACGGTGAATGATGTGACTGCCTCTGGAGCTACGTTTCAGGCCACGCCAAATGCTGGTGTAACAAGAAGGTCCAGAATATTAGTCACCTAGAATATCTCCAACGTTTTAGAGATAAACATCTACAATTCTGTGTCCACCCGAACGACACTGCTGAAATTAAACAAGGTCAGAACTCGACTCGTGTTACTGCATTTTTGCTTATTTTTGGTAGATCAAGAAGACAATATTTTCCATAAATACCTTGTGATGTAGGAAACCTTCATTTAACTCAAACACTTAAATAGTCCGTCCTCAGCCCAATCCTGGAGCCATTACTTACCAAGAAAAACTGTACGTGTTCCACCGCACAGTAACGGAAAGCCGTGTATTACTTAAATTTGAAGATAAATTAAGTGGAAATTCTCCTTTGAGACTAATCTCCATTAGTGTGGCTGACTGCTATGATCTCAGATGTAATTAGGTTTTAGATTAGCTCTGGTACTTTTTCCTGTAATGCATTTTGTACGTTAAGTACGTTCCACAAGGGAATTGTTTTTTTAGTCTATTTAAACATTTTATCAACCGAGATCCAATTGTTTTCAAATATCAACTCTTCCTTTATTTGTCGAACTTTACTCTTTGAATACATTCTCTCCCATATGATAGTCTAAGGTGCCGTATCAGTGTATGAAAAGAGAATTATTTTCTGTAACATTATTACCAATCCCCTATCGTGATTAGAGATTTGATGCTATAAATCACAAGAGAGAGAATTTCAGCTACAAATGAGGACAATAAAATCCCACGAAATGCAGTCTAGCCTAGAATACGGAGAGTTAAAACTGCCAACCTCAGGATAAGTGAGGATTCATGGTGTGATCGCACAGTCAGTCTTGTGATTCTATTTACAGAATCTTCTTACACTAATACATAATTTGGAGACTTTCATCTAAACTACGACAATGCTCCTTATTATGGTTTCCAGAAAAACTATTTCAACACCTTCAGCTGGTACAATCTTGCCAACTAGCATCTAAAGAGTTTGCCACACATTGCCCAGCCTCAATTCTGTACACTGGCTGCCAATAACATGGTGTAAAATTCAAAAAATCCTCTTACTCTTTAAAGCACTATGCAATCACAAAACCTTCTACCTTAAATGTCTTTAGGTTTAAATAAATTGTGCCACAACAGAGAGAGACAGAGATAGGGATTGGTTTGTAATTTAATTTGGATTTCTGCCTCGACCAATAAGGATTCAGTTGTGGGATTTAAGATGGGGATATTGCGGTAAGTTTTGTATGACTGATTTTTCATTCCTGCATTCCTTCATTAAAGGTGTGAAAAGTTCCTGAGGAAGTTGTGGTTGAACAAAGAAACGTGTAGGGCGTGTGGACACCGGCATGCTTCATGTGCTGTTCTCGTAACATACGTGATATGCTCTAAATTTATTCAGATTTTAAAAATCTGGGCCCTGATTTTAATCAGTTGGTTTCAGTCTGGCTGACCTCCAGACTAAATTATTGCTTATTCGGAGCCTGTTTTTTTTTTTTTTTAATCCAGAAATTGCTTAATAGTGTTTACAATGTCCACATCTGGTTTTGCTGCATTCTCTCTGGGCCATTCAGACGTGCACACTCAGAGAAAGGGATAATTGGCACCCCGTGGACCCCGGGTAAGTTGTCAAATTGTTCACAGAAGGGTGCAATGGCACCATAAGCACTACAATGGAATGTAGTGTTAGACTGTTCCTGTCTTATTATTGATAGGCAATTCCTTGGTTTCACGCACTGCCTCACACATTGATTGCCTTTTCCAATGCGACATTGCTGCTGTCATGTCTCCAAACCACGATTGGTAGACTTTAACCAACATTAGCCTGTATCGCAGTGAAAGCTGTACCAAGCGCATAAAGAGGCAGTGAAATCTAGCCATGAAACACTCTGCTGCCATCTAGTGTCACAAAATGGTGCAGTTAAAACCATCCTCCGGGCTTCTAAATAAATCCAGGACAGTTGAAGTTGATTGAAATACAGGAGCAAGACTGGTTTCCCATTACTAGACCTGTGGTCCCCAGCCAATCCTAAATCCACAAGGCACCCAAACAGTGTAGGCATTTTCCAATTTCTTTCCAATGGGGATTCTGAAAAATAAAAAGTGGCTTTTGGTCTGTCTTGAAAACCGGGCTCGAAAGCATTGCCCTAGATTTCCTGTTTATACAGCTACTGGAAAAATACAGTCATGGTTTGGTATATATTTAGTCCTACAGGGAGAATACGGTGTGCACCACTGCTTGCCAGTGACATACCAGTGATTTATTTTAACATCTGAAACCCACCACCACCATAGTCTCTGGATAATTATAGCCATGTTCCCTTATTGAAATTATTTATTTAGAAAAGACAATGGACGATATTTATCAAAGTGTTTAAAATAATTACAGAATTTAATCGTCACTTTTCCGTGCATTCACTATATGGACAAAAGAATAAGGACACACCTCTTAATTATTGAATTCAGGTGATTCAATCAGACCCATTGCCACAGGTGAAGTCTCTGATCGGATGCCACCTTTGCAATATGTCTGTTCATGTAATTTCATCCCTGCTAGATATGCCACCGTATGAGATATTACTGAAAAGTGGAAGTGTCAAGGAGCTGCAGCAACTCACCCATGTAGCAGAAGACCACGTTAAGTCACAGATCAGGGTCACCGATGCATGGTGCATAAAAGTCACCAACGTTCTGCTGATTCCATAACTTAAGAGTTCCAAACTTCCACTGGCATAAATATCAACAGAAAAACTATGCAGCGAAGCTTATTGGAATGGGCCGAGTAGCTGCATGCAGGCTTCACAATGCCAAGAGTTACATCAAGTGGTGTTAAGCATGCAGCCACTGGACTCTGGAGCGACATTCTGTGGATCGAAGAATATTGATTCTGGGTTGGCAGATGCCAGGAGAACGTTACATGCATGACTGCATTGCTAACTGTAAAGTTTGGTGAAGGAGTGTTAATGGTATGGGGCTGTTGTTCAGGGGTTGAGCTAGGCACCTTACTTCCACTGAAGGGAAGTCTTCATTCTTCAATATCCCAAGACAATGGTCAATGCTGTGCTTCCAACATTGTGGCAACAGTTTGGGGAAGATCCTTTTCCTTTTCAACATGACTGTGCATCAGTGCACAAAGCAAGGCCCATAAAGACATGGTTGGATGAGTTTGTTGTGAACTTGATTGGTCCCCACAGAAACCCCATTGAACACCTTTGGGATTAACTGGAATGGACAT